TCACTCACCTTCTAAAGATGTAGTGTAAATATTTATCTTCTCTCTGGCCCATCCATGCTGCCCAGGACCCAGCGCTGTTAAACACTCTTATCACCTCATCAGTCTTATCTCCTGCGATCCCTGCCAACATTTGGAGTCTGTCAATGGGAACAAGAGTGCACCTTAAAAGGTGCCACAAATGAACAGAAAGAAGAGGTGATGTGGGGGAAAGAATACCTTAAAATATAGAGTGCATGCATTGTCCCTCAAAAGGGAGAGGTTGGTGTGTATGTTTTCTGCTGTGCTTCTCATGCCGACGGTGTCTGCGCTTGGCGATGCGATCGAAGGCACAGAGATGAGGTCTCGGTGCAGAGCAAGTGCTTGTGGAGGCATGGGGGTCCTGTGCAGACCCCTTGCAGCTGGTACGGAGGGCTGTCCGGCCCCAGCTTCATCACCTATATGGGGTCTAGTTGGACCAAACTTCGCCCAGGTAACCAGCATGGGTTTGCTTTTCCTCCTTCAGTACTTGGGCTAAGTAAAACATGGGAGATGGGAGGAAGAGATAGTGTCTCCCTTAGGGCCACCCTCCTGCTCGCAGAGGTTTCTGTACACAGCTTGGAGAGCGAGTGAGGCAGGTCTGGAAGATCAATGTTCATGTGCCACTGTTTAAAAACTGCCCCATGAAACCAGTGCAGTCAAACACTGGCACATCAAGGTCTGCTTGCCATGGCGGGGCAGCTGGAATTGTGTTTTATAGCCTGTGCAGCATCTCAGCAGGGCCCGGCCAAGCCGTTTCCGTGTCTCTGCCCCTCAGTCCAGAAACCTTGTGTTAGGTTAAGCAGGGTACAGAATTTCCCAAGGAACGAACATGGGATGGCAACACCGATATAATCCTATCACTTATAAGACAAAATTGGCGTGCAGGAGCCATAGTACCACTTAACGGATAAGACAGTTGGTCCATCTGCGCTCGGTCCATCTTCTCTCATTTCTCTTGCTTAAATTTCTCAGGAGCAGAACAAAATCCTGTTATCCAATAAGTTACCCACTGGTAGTTGGATTTTCATTGAGTGACATCTGTCGCAGACCACGGATGTGAGAGGTACCGGTGATTTTGTAGCATCTTTGTTTTGATGAGTTTTGTAGACGTGGGCATTTGGTTTTATTTTTGAAGTATTTGGAAACACTCTTTGTCAACCTTGAAGGCCGCACAGCTCGGCTGTCATCCTGCTGTGGCCAGATGTACCAGCAGGCTATAAAAGGCACCAGGGATGGCACACGGCATTAGGAGGCAAGAGGAAAGCTTGGAACTGATCCATTGTTGGTCAGTACCTTGCGTGTGTGGGACTGAGCGCTCCGACATGTGAGTGTGTAATGGTCTTTCCTCCCTTTCTGGTCATCCTCTGTCTGCCTATATGGGTTCTGCCATTTCCATGAGCTCCTTTTTATGGACAGAGTATTCCTAAAAGGGCTCTGGGACTGGTACCTGCCAGTGCCTTGGAAGGTGGAAGCAAAGCTGTAGAGAATCACGCATTACTGCTTTGAGCCTAGCCTTTTCCCCCTTTTGTGCTGAAGTTCACTGAATCAGGCCTCCGATTTCCTCCTTTTTAACCTGTCGCGTTGATGTTATTCCTGATGCGTGTTGTTGAAAGGGCATTTCTCAGCAACATCCTGGCATAGAGCAGAGCTCAGCGTTGGCCCCAGAGCTGCCCAATCTCTTCTTCTGCCCTCCCTGACATCAGCTCCCCTCCTCAACACCTTCTCTTTGTGCTTCTGTCAAGCTCATGTTGGGAGAAAAAACGTCTCTAATTTCTATTAACATGCCTTAGCACAGAAATTATAATGCACCACAATTACCTAACTTTCCATCGACACTGTTTGGAAATAACTGGTTATGGTATTCGGGTTTTTACGTTACAGGTTTATCAAATGACTGGTTTCAGTGTGTATCGCTAGACTCTGGGTCTTGTTGTACTTGCACCTCTGTATGATTTGCATTTCCATAATGTGAAAGCTAAACTGGAGAGAGAAGAAGTGAACAACCACGACAAACATCCCCCTCCAACTCAGTGCTTTGTATAAAGTGAACCAGCAACTACCCTGATGGGTTTCGATGGACAAAAATTAGCTGCCCCTGCTTGCAAGCCAGAAGAGCGAAGTGGTCCATCTGATCACCGCTGGCATCTCTGCATTCCTTCTAGCTGCAGAGGATGCGCTCCTGGCTGCGATGTGGCAATCTGGTGCCAGTGATCCTGGGCTGGGCCGGTGCCATTTGCCGGTGCCCTGGGCAGGGTGCAGCAGGATGAGGACAGAGGCTTTGGTGGGCAGTTCCCGTCCGCTCACCGTTTGGGGTCACAAGAGAGGCACATCCTGGGAGAAGGGCACACCTCACCTTGCCTAGGATGCTCCAGAAACCACTGCTTTCTGTCGCACATCAGGAAATATCCCTTGCATCAAGGCCAGCTACAATTCATCTTAAGACTACTTCTGCATGTCTTGTTTCGTTGTAAAACAAACATTTCCAGCACCTGGTAGGCGATATTCATCTCACATTGGGAGCTGTAATCCTCGCTTTCACGGCCCGTCTTTGATTAGTTTCCAGGTGTGACTGTTCTGTGCTGAAGGCTCAGCGCTGCCATACCTGGAGCCAAGTGGTGTGCACGGAGCAGCTGGGCACGTTGGGCTCCAATTAGCCACAGTGCTCCAAAAGGCCAAATCAAAGAGGGATTGAGATCAGCAGCCTCCCGAGGACATTTCAAGGCCCTTAGAGAGTGACCACACTAGAGCTTTTTCCATTTACCTGGATTAAAATTTGTCACAGAGAAAATACAAGCAAATAGCATAGCATCTGCAAAGTGTAACAAATAGCATTTGGCCAGTCGTCAGGCTCGAAGGGGGAAAAAAAAATCCACAGCGTAAATAAAGTGTAAACAATGTTTGCATAACGCTGGATTAATAGTTCTTTTTAAAAACCGCACTGGGATTAGAGAGATGCATTTTGTATGCCAGGACTTGCGCTCTCTTCTTAGCCCAATAAATGCCAGAAAGTACATCTAAGGGGAATAAAAAGCATCGTTAGCCCAAAGCCTGCTGCTGAAGCAGCAGTGCTTTATGCAGGCCTTTGGAAGAGGAACAAATGGCTGTAGTATTCCTGGAGCAGTTCTATGTATTTTACAAGGAGCTTTGCAGCAAAGTGTTCCTGTGGAAAGGGATTTCTGCTGCACATCTCCAAGCCCATTCACCTGCAGGTTTTGTCAGCTATGATTTTGAAGGCGGCAATGCAGAGGGGAGCTGGCTTCCCATCCCCCAGCACACACACAACCCGCATATTTGAGAGCCTGCCTTTCCAATAACTCATTTGTAGCGCTCCCGCCTCTTCTTCCCCAGCCCTGCTCCGTATTTTGCTGAAGTCAGTGCCGGCCCTGTCACTCCTCCGAGCAGGCATGTGCTTAAGGACCACTCGGGGGCTCTGGCTCAGATCGGTTACCTTATTAGTGCAGAATAATCAATGGATGCTGTCCTTGATTCCTTCAGTTGTTTGGTTTGCAGCATCTTCTAATGACACCCATTTGCATTATGCTCCCCTGCAATTTGGGCAGAAATAGGCTCGCGAATTGAGGCGCCTCCAAATGTTGGCATGAGTGCCACAAATAGTGCTTAGCGGCACACGGAAGGAAAAATTTCACACACACACACACGTAAGTTTTCCCCAGCAAAGATGTGAAATGGATGTTTAGGCAGCAGATGCCTGTTACATCTGGCTTTTCTCTTTTGTCCCTATTGCTCCTGCAGTGGTTGCGTTGGTGCAGTGTCCCAGAGCAAAGCATGGCACCTTCCACCCTGAGACACAAGTTGCTCCTAGTTCCTCAGCAGAACAGGGTTAATATCAAACAGAACAACAAGCTGGGAAGCCAGAAGTGCCATGAACAGCAACTGGTGGGATTTCTACCTGTTTTCCTGTTCTTCTTTTCCCTTTTGCCTGCTCCAGAATCCACGGCAGGCTGTAGAATTTGCACCTTAATCCCAAAGATGATGGTAATTAAAAACTTAAGTCTCCATAAACAGATGCAAATAAATTAAGGAGGCAAAGAACTGCATTAGAGGCTAATCCTGGTGGAGCAGTGAAAGCAAAGGGGCCAGTAATTCTTTCCTTCTGTTATTTCACCTGTTCTTGTGGCAGGACGAGGCTGCGGTGCCTGGGTCTGCACTGCTGGACGTGCCACGGGAGCACCGACCGCCCACCGGCAAAGCCCTGCCCGCGCTTGCCAAGTCTGGGAGCGGGACGCGCTTCCCAAACCATTGTAGCTGATGCAATGGTGTACGTGTTAGCTTCAGGGGGGAGCTGTGTGCCAACACAAATCACACGATTTGCTTGGTCCTTGCGCCATGGGTGTTTCACACGGATGAGTTCAGCAACTGGCTCTGATTCCTGAGCGTTGTGCATAGCCCTTTCCTCACCCCTGTACGGGAGGGACATCAGCAGCCCGACAGAAATTGCTTGGGCTCTGGGTCTGCCTTTGTCCAGACCTGAATTCTGAAAGAGTGAGGACCTAAGATTTATTTGGTTGGAAGAAAAGTGGGGTTTTCCCCCATGTGCTCCCCTGCGCTGTGCCAGCATCCCCGTGCTTTACCCTTCTCTCAAGTCACTGGCTGAGGCTGGGCTTGCACAGGGGCGTCTTGCACTAAAGCATCGGGATTAGCGAGGGTCCCAAAGAAAGGCCGTAGGACTGAAATCCTTCATTTTTATGGGCTGGAAGTGATAACGCTATGAACTGAATTATACTCATGTCATGACGTGATACACACACTCTTATGCATGGATAGGTATTGATTATCCATCAATATGGATTGATGGTAGATGGTGATTCAAAGCCTGGCTGCCAGGTAGCTGGATGTCCTGGGCTGTTTATCTAGTCAATTAAAATATTGCTGTGATTCAGCTTATTTATTTAAAACTGGGATTTGCTTGTATCCCCACGACGTTACCTGAACCTCTAAAATCAAGTCTCTCTCTTTTTCAGGACGGGGAAGGCCAGACTGCACTCCATTACGGTAAGCTGCCTTTCGGCTTGGTTGTTCCCTCCTAACAGGATGGATTTGCAGCTGGAGTAAATGGTCCACATACAGGAAGCAAATTTCAGCAGAAATACGAGCAGGGAAGCTGGATTTGATTAACCAGCACCTATCTCCACTGGCAAATCCCAGCATGGCGTGAATAGGAGCGCTGGGAGAAGGAGCGAGGAAGACTGCTGTCCTCCCTTCATTCTCCTTTGCAAATTTCGTCTTGAAGCCTTCCTTTTCCCCCAATTACTGGTGCATTTTCTGCAGAGTTTGTCCCGTGTGCCCGTGTGTCTCTGGGACGCAGCTTTGCTACCTCCAGACCCGGGAGCCACTCTGGTTAGGGGATCCTACGTCCCTTAGGCATCGGGGGGTTGAGAGGAGGGGCTGCAGGGGCTTCAACAGGTTACGCAGGTGAGGGGAAGGGGACGAGCAAGGACGGCCTTCACCTCCACACCTCCTGGTGACCAACCTCTTTGAGCGCAGCTGAGAGAGCAGCCCCTTCTCTACTACCAAAACCAGCAGGGCAAAGTTAACAGCTTGTGTCCCTCCTACAATTACATGCTAATTAGGTACATGATTTTATAGCAATCTTTTTAATTGAAAGATTGTTCTGTCCCCAAATGAGAAAAGTAGAGACTAAAGTGACACATGCGGTGCTGATGTGCGGGGAATAGGAAAAAAGTATTGATTTAATCTGTATCATATTTTTTTTCCAAAATTAAGACATACCCAGTTATTATTTTATACTCTCTCAGTGCCTGTCACTGAGTAATTAAGAGCATACTTGTCATTCTGAAGTGTTTGTGTCTTTTTCTCTCTTATGATGTCTCCACAAGGACATTAGCAGGATGGCAAAATTGCTTTGCAGACCATCAGTCCAAGGCACAGCATTTGGATCTGGATCTAAACTACCAGTTTCCAGGGCCCCTGAACCGAGACTGTAATTACAATAATGTATGATTTCTCCCCATGTGCTCTTTCCTGTAGGATACTTTATTTTTCAAATTCTAATCGTTCTGACTGAAGCAGCAAATCTGTTGCTTAGTGCAGCGGTGTCCGCAGAGTGACAGCACTTAATGCCACTTCGCCTCTTTCTCTGTCCGGCTCGTTCCGCGTTTTGGGCGTTCTCACTCCTGGGAAGATGCTCTCCCCTGCTCCCAACTCCGGCACTGGCATCTGCCTACCAAGGGGTAGACGGTGGATTATAGTAGGTTGTGCAAAAGCATGGCATGTGTGTAAGTTATCCAAGAGCACCCGCTTCAAGCGAGTCCACTACGTGCAAGTAAAGGGCGGGTGCATCACCTCAATGTAAATTATTTGCAGGTGGATCCCCCTGCCTGGTGGCTGAAGCTGGTTGTTCAACACAAGCAAACAAACAAAGCTGACTTAATTAAACATTATTTCAGAAAGGGTTTCTCTGATCCGCCCTGCCAGCTTAGATGTTTCTATAATGACATTTTACCAGGGTTTTTTTTTTTTCCAGAACGTTTTAAGTGTTAAAATTTTTGCTTCCCCTTGAGTAGTATCCCAGCTGCCCTCCCTGTACGTCATCTTTGGGGAAGCCTCTCTGGGTCGCTGGGCGTGGTGTGCCCGCGGGTGCCCGGCTGTCCCTGGCTGACCATCGCTGCACCCAGACTGTCATCGTTCCCTTTCTGAGCCAGTCGGGTCATAAATCGCCCCGGTCTTGAAAACAGCTTGTTAAATGAGTGAACGGTTTGGATTCAAGTGGCTACTTGCTTGAAACTAGAACTCACTGAAAACCTCACGATCTCGGTAGGCGCTTGGTAACCAAGCTGTTCATGGCAGCAGAGGGGCACGAGAGCTCGTTTGAAAACCGTCTCTGGTGGTGCTGAACAGAGCGGTGCTTTTACAGGACCGTCCCTTTTGTTAGGGGCTGCTCAGGGAAGGGTTAAATCCCGTGAGACAGCCACTGCTTTTAGGGTGTCTCCATCCCTTTTTATGAGCCAGCGTGGCCTGACAGCTGTCCTTGTGGTGACAGCTCTCCTGATTACAGCCGGTGTCAAACTGCGTCCTGCTGCGGGTTATAAATCCTGCCTCCTTCCGATCAGCGCCGACCCCGGGTTTAATCGGAGGTTAAGTGGAGGCCAGCCGGCAGCGCGGTCCAAAGGCACCGGCTCACCGGTGGGACCCACCGCTCTCCTCCAAAGCTGGAGGCAGCGGTCGGTGCCATGTTGATCACGTTATGAGCACAGGCTCCCTGCTAAACGGCCCGTTAGTCTTCGGCTTCTCTCCATCCATCCATCCACCCGCTGGGAATACTAAAATCATTGCCGCTGCCTCTCCCAGAGGAAATCAAGGCTGCTCCAAGCACTTGTGGCCACGTGGCCGCCGAGTGGGCAGGCTCTGTATCCTCATGGGCGCTCCGGCTTCCCTGCAAAGCACCATCTGTTCGGCTCTTTCTGAGCTGTGGCAGGGCAGTGGGAGGGGACGCTGGAGGGAAAAAAAATAATAAAAAAAAAA